GTCATCAAATCGATGGAAGAAGAAAAAATAAAAACTGGGTATGTGCAATGTAAATGGTCGTACTATTGTGCCATGGATGAGAGAAACAGCACCTTAAATGTTAAAAAGGAAATAAAATAAACCGAGAACGATGAAAACCGAATGATAAATTGAACAAAGACAAAAAAAAAATAGGACACCAGAATGAAAACTCTTTATCCGCTTTGTTTTCATCCAATTGTCATAATTTTTATCCTCCTTTGTTTCCGAAGAGAAAAAAAAACAAATCGTTCTACCGCATAATGAAAAGTTTAATGAATAGTTAATCGGACATTTTTTAGAGTTTAAAGAGGAGTTAGAAGGAAAAGTGAATGAAAAATCCAATGTTTTTTAGAAAATTTTGTAAATAATCAGGCTCTATTAAATTGTCGTTAAATATCAAAATAATTATTTATTCGATCCCTAACTTATTTATGAGTCGTGATTATTCTAATAATGTTAATGATTATTCGAGTAATTGTTTACGTGGGATCAGGAGGTTCTTTTGATTCTCTTGTATCGGGTTAAAGGACCGCTGGGATCATTGGGGAGCCCTCCAAAGGCCTCTTGGTACTCTGGGACCATCTGTAATCCAAGATCCTGAGAATTTGCGTCATCAACAGGAGAATTGACATCAGCCACTGAATCTGATTGGACCTCGTTCAGAAGCTCGTCAGCAGCCCTTTCCCACCTCCCTCTACCTCTACTCTGTCTCTGAATAATAAATCCATCAACTCAAGCCTCCAGAATGTGTCATAAATAAATAAACTCAAAATATTACCCGATGCTTATGTTGACCTCTTTTTCTCTTCCTCCGGGAATTTTCCCTCCGGGGTCTCGTGTACAGTCGGCCAGGAAAGAGAAAACTTTTCCGCATCTCCTGCCTCCCACCCAACCTGGAGTGTTTTAATCTCCTGCCCTCACCCAATCCCTCGGACCTGCGGATAAATCGATTCGCCTGGTTTTAACGTCGTATCATCTCCCAAAATAATTAAGGTAAATGTTCCAGCAGCTCATGCTCCATCGATTATCCACTGGAGATTAAATTTCCATCGGCAAATTAAGAAGAGAAAAAACTTCTGGAACATTTACCTTCCCTGTACCTCAGACTCTGACATCTCATCAACGCCAAGGCTTCTGTGAGAGGGTAACACGGACTTTCTGAATTTTCGAGTTTTCGGGTTGCCCTTCCTCCTGAATTTAATCTCCTCTTCAATCTCCTCGTCCTCAGACTCGTCATCTCCAGCTGATCTCTTTCGGATACTGTCATGTGGAGCTCTAACATCCTGGAGCTCATGCAGGTCAGAATCAGAATTTCCAGAGAGATCTTCCAGTCGTTTTTCCTTGTCGTCGAGCCCCTCATCCTCCTGCTCTTCCCTCTCCAGTCGCATCAGTTCATCGTATCTCGCATTATTCGTCTCGATTTCTCTGATCTTCAGCTTCTCCTCGAACTCCTGCTTGACCCTCTCCTTCACAGCATCGATTTGTCTCTGCAGCTGGTCCTCGATTCTCGTTGAATCGACTTTATCCTTTTCTTCAGGTTCAGAGGAAGGGACTTGTCGTCTGACTTCTTTCTGAAACTCCAGCTTGCTCTCCCCTGAATTTTTATCTCCTGCAGATTTTTCCAATATATCGACAGCTCCTGGAGTGTCTCTTGGAGACTCCCGACCTATTTCGAAAGTGTCAACTTCAATTTTCAGGAGACGAGGGTGAGACGCTAGTGAATTGTTGGACAGAATCTGACGTTTCTTCTCGGTCTCAGCACTTTTAGAGGATTTCCCTCGTTTCCTCAAGCTCCTGATCTCATTCTCCACTTTTTTCTCCACTCTTTCCAGCTGGGACTTTGCTTTCTCCAGGTTTACCCTCGTCTTCACGGAACCATTTTCCTCGGGGAACGATTTTTCCCGTTTCACTCGGGAATTCTCGGTGTCAGTCACGTCAACATCTAGGGCTTCTCGACCTCTTCTACTTAAGGGCTCAGAACTTTTGGAGTCCTCGTCGTACAGGTCGTCCTCATAATCCGATATTGTTTCTAAATTTTCAGCTAGGCGCTTTCGGATGCTCAAGGGAAGGTCTTCATATCTTATCGTACGTTTTTTACGGAGAATTATAGTGTCTGAGGGGCTCTCCAGGTTCAGGAATTTTTCTGGAGTTTCTTTCGACCTTGAGTGATAATAAAATCTTACATTTTAGGAAGTTTTCAATATTTTTATTAAAAATCCTATTCAATATAAATTAACAAATTTTATCTACAGATTAACGATGTTTGAGACTTTCAGCCAGAATTTATATTTTTTCTATTTTTCTGACAAATTATCAATGATTGATATGAAAAATATAAGTTTTGCGTTTTGTAATTATTTAATAGCTCACGAAATTGCGTGATGGTGCCATTTTCCTGCGTTTTTTCTATTTCGACAGTTTTGTAATTATTTTTAGAAATTAAAAAAATATCTGCATCACTTTGGAAATTCGTGAGTCATTAAATAATGACAAAACGCAAAAACGATATATTTTTGCATGTCAATGTTACTAACCGTTTCTCAGAAATTCGTATAGGCCTTGAAAATTGAGGAGATGCCAGCAACAACTCCTTAATTCATAATTTTAATTGCATTCAAACAAAAAGTTATTGAATTTTTTTCCCCAAACACGTGCTCCACTCTTCACAACTTGACAACAAAATTAAATCTAATTACCTGTAATCAGTACTGGAATCAACGACTTCTCCGATAACGATCGAAATGAGAATAAACGACTCCAGAGGAATTCCGAGTCTTCTCATCGTGTCGACATCATCAGGAAGTATTTCATTTTTGAATTAATGATTTAATGGTATTTACGAAAAATTGACATGCAAAACGATTTCCATAATTGGTGGATTGAGAATCAGGTTAAAACAATGGAAAATCAAATGGAAAATTTATCTAATTTTCATCCCGAGAAAAACTGCAAGAGCCTCAACAGTAACGCAGTCACTGAGGTATGGAAAATAAATTTTATTATTAATTTTATTACATTAGTAACTAATTTTAATTAGTAATAAGCTCGATTATTCCACAAGCGCTTATGTACAGTTTTCATCGTTTATGTATAAACCGGTATACATATTCGAGAATTAAAGTTCATCTCTCTGGTGTCTTTTTATATCCTTGATTGAATTGACGATTGGATGACTCAAACATTTAGCACAGCCAATTTTAAAAGGTCAACTTGGAGATATTCACACTGTCAGTGAACAGTCCCATGACCTTTTACCACATCTCCAAGTAACTAGATTATTTTCATCAATTGAAGACTAATTGTATTGCAATGAAAGGAGAAAACTGTCTATTATAGTTGATAAAATTGGGAGAATTCATCCGCATGATTAATCCCTTCTTTTTTTTATGGAATTTTCGTATTATATTTTCGTGTCTCTGCCCTACAGAATGCACTTTAATACTGTCAATTATTTATTTACACAGTTCGAACACAATTCAACAATATTGTCAACTATAAATAATCGTAAAAATAAATGGTGAGTGCTGAAGAAAAAAACGAAACAAAAATAATGGAAAAAACGTTTATTCAAAAGAAAGTGATGTATAAATGGGAATTAACAAAAGCCCTTAAGTATTTCAAAGAAAAATAAACGATTGGGTTAATGAAAAATAAATATGTCGTATCGACAATGGAGAAAAAAAATCACAAGCTGAAGAAAATGATTACTGCAAATAAAAAAGAATAAATCGTCAGAAATAATAATCATATAATTTGTTAGTGATAACAATAGATCGTAAAAGCAACGATATATACTATAAACTCTGGCAGAATTGCTTGATAAAAATCCTATCAGGCAAAGCTCAACCTATCACCCTTTCATCAACTTTAAGCATTCAAAAATGCGATAAATTGCACATTTTACCCACTGCATTCCGCAGTTTAACTC